CCAACAGATCGACGAATGAGAGCGTGATTTCGGCACGAGCCCAGTCGGTCCTAAGTGGGTCCTGAATAACGTGAACACAACTGCTGTAATCCCTCTGCAAACACAACTGATTAAAACTTTCGGCACGTGCCGAGATCCCGTAACGTGAACGTAGTAATTTTTAAATGCAATTTATTTTGATTAAAATGCCTGACAGTCAAAATGTCATCAAACCCACAAAAACACAAAACAATAGTATAGAATAGTAATATCATAATTTCCTGCTCTCGTACCAAACAAAATCTGTGAAATGTATCTGAAAATTGATAGGACACATGATTGTCGATATAACTGACTCTAAGTGAATACAACTTTACCTGAACACAAGTCAATCAAACAAATCGATCGGCATATAATATATATATGCTCTGACTTTCTACCAACTTTTAACAAATCGGACGAGACATTTCCGATAAATGCATATAGGCGCGCACACACACACAACCCAAAGCACAAGTCTCTGTTCTGGACTTCAACTAATCGAATTTAACAAATCGACATTAGAATCATCACATTTAATGTTTTGCAATTTATTGCACATATACCATTTGTGGCTTTGTTGGATTAACATTGTTGCATCTGAAGATAAATATTATCGATTATATAATTCCGAGTAAATCGATTATTGACAACAGTGATACAACATATAGAAATATACACAATATATTTGTTTTGTTTAAATTCACATCAATGAAATAACAAAAAGTATTTCCATACAAATTGTATTATTTGTGATGAATAAGTATAAGAACATGTATCCATTTGAACACAGTGTACTTTATTTCCACTTCGCCATTGCGGGCAGATGGCTTAGCAACGGCTCGGATTTAAGTTAAGCCGCATTTGATTTGACCCTGAATTGAAGGCTTTAACAACGTGCGTGTAAGAGAAGGTTGATCCTAGTAACATCTTATAATGGTATGGCGATGTGATATTGCGGTTTGTTTTATTTCACGTGTTGATAAACCGCAGTACGATTGATAGATCCACAACAAATCCAGCTACAGCCACGTATGAATGTATGTGACACTCTAGTACTGCAACAAACCTGTGTGTGGTAACGGAAACATGTCGGTGCAGTCGTTACAAGTGAAATACGCTATGTTTCGTATCGTAATTTGTCTTCTTGTTATCTGCGTAAGTTCCGTTCATGGGACTGCTTCAGTTGTGAGTATGAAATATTATTTTAATCCAGCGATTTTTTCAGTATTATTTGTTTCAGGCAATAGTTCCGGACGTTGAATGTTATTGTTGTCGACCCTATTTTTTTATGTACAAAGTACGAGTGCTAAAATATAGCGTAATTTGCAACATGAATCACATTTCATGTTTAGGGGCTACACTTTGGACCATCTTCATATCATAATAACATTACGGTAATTCTATCCGTTCGTACATAGTTACCTGCGGATCTTAAACAAGGTTCCCCCGAAGTGGCATTGTTTGTGAAGAATTTCTGTCATGTTAATTAGCCTCTCCACTGAGTCTGCGCCACACCCCAAAAAGGGTCGAATCGTTTTGGTTTTCAGGCTCAGGCAGGATTTCAGCCCGCGTTTTCTGGTCATAAGTGCAATGCAATAACCACTATATCATCATTATCATCATCATCAGTCGGGCGCACCCGGTTCCATGGTCAGCTTCCCCCACAATTCCATGTCCCTCATCAGAACTTTTAGTTCTTCAGTGCTTAGACCAGTATCATTTTGAAGCACGGATATGTCGTCATCAAAAGGTCTTATTTGTCCATGGGTTGGTTTCCACAGTAGCACCAAGGACGCTGGTTCGTTGTGTCTGAAGCAGTTTCCCGCTAGTCCGAGTTTTCGTTTTCTTATTGTTTCGGATACTTGTGGTAGATTACCATAGAGGTCTTTATTTGTGACATGTTGTCTCTAGCTGATATCCTGCTCCAAAGTGTGTAAATCACTTTCAATAATTTGTTGTTATGACTACATTGAATGTTTCTAACCTAAAGCTCGTTGCTATGCTGGACAAGCATCTGGGTAATTTATTTGTTCATGGTTTAAATGTCATTGTATATCAGACCATATCAGGATACTTTGTGAAGAGTGTTTTAAAGTAATCGGCGGGTATTGCCAAGTGCAAATAGTACACATAAATGGGTTTTCATGAACTGAATACAAATATAACACAATATAGTACAAAATAGAATAACATTGCATTTTAAACGGCGCTAATTGATAATTGCGATGTTACACAGTATTTGAATGACCGCGTATTTATTACTAGCACTGGATTGAAAGGTAGAGTTTGAAGTCAGTAATTTTGACGACGACAGAAACATGGTCATGTTTTTTCAGTCCACATTGATTATGGTAGACAACATTAATTATAAATTGGAGCTTACTTTTGAGTGAAATATTACAGGTTGAGTAGACAGGATCGGTTGATTTTGACAACTAGCTTGGGCGCTCATTACAACAAACAATGTAATACATAACTGGTAATGTAAACATATTCACCGACATTTTAATCGTTTTTTTCAAACAATCGTGTAATAATAATTTAAATAATTTAACTGATATTGTAGTTGTACCATTCTTTAATCTTTTAATATTAATGACAAAACATAATTTGAGATCGACATGTGGCGTTTAGGCTGCTTTGATTTAAAAGGCCGTGGTAATCACATCGCGTCCTGTTCGAAATGGTACTCATAGCAACGTATACTGCGCGTGTAAAATACATTGTTTTCATATCAAGGAATTAGTTGAAAATTATATCAGTGGAATGAGGGTAATGTTCATGACAATACTTCTTTACCAAGATTCCAATTAAAAACATTATGTTTATGTGCGGTATCAAACTATGAATATGATGTGTCAATTATACACACTATTACTAATATTAGTGTAGTGTAATTAATGCACAACATGACATTATACAAATGTTCAAACAAAAAATATGAACATATCGATTTAGTTTTACCTGTTTTAGATTTCTGATTTCAAATAAGGACCGAAAGTTAATAATATCATAATCCAATCGATAACAACACATTGCGCAATGCATTCTAAAGTATTTCACAATACTATTATTTGTTACTGGCACATCCATTATGCAACAATTTTGACAGGTGTTTGTCTCTAATTCTCCTAATTTTTTAAATATTTTTGTTATGCTCAGTATTACAACATAGGCATACTTACAGGTATTTTAAAAGAGAAAATTGAATATTCTTAATTTCAATTTTAATACCAGATTTCACAACTATAATTAAAGTTGTGTACGTTTTCAAAAGCAGTCGGAGAATGTAGAGCACACATTTCTTTGTGAATAAGTTTCTGGGGTGGTAATAATTGTTATTTGTTTTTCTTGTTGGTTAGAATAGAAGGATAACCAAAGTTTGAAGTTTTCGTAGCAACGTGATAGTTTAATTTGGTCACGTGTTTTCTAATTTGTTCCAGTGTGCTCCGGTTATTGAAGTGCATCCTCGGTCCTAATGTGTTCATGACTGGCTAACATTGTGGAAAACTGTTGATAAGTTAGTGACATGTCTGACCATCGTACTAGTGATCAAAAAAATGTCAGAAACTCAGAAACCCAGTTTGTCTCTTTCTTTTTTGGCACTTATTTCTTGCAATGTGCTTCAATAGGAGGTTTAATGTAGGTGTGTGGCCACCATATGTTAGATTGTGGTGATTTCAACTGGTTAGTATCCCCACATTTATTGCCTTAAGGTATTTTAATAACAAAAATAACAAAACGGGGAATTTTGTCTGACTAATGTATTTTCAATATTACGAAATAATGGTAAAAAACTGAAAATAATCTGATAGAAGTATGACCTATCTACTTATAAAACCAATAACAAAATGCCATATTTTCACCAAATATGACAACAATATTCGCCTAATTAACAAAATCACCATGAAATCGTGTTTTTATTTATAATCAAAACCGATTTACGTGAAGAACAAATGGAAAATTTATGACATTAACGCCTATAGAAATTCATGGTAATATGATAACCTCAAAGTTATATTTATTTAGGGAAATGCAAACCACGATATAACAAACTTTCTTACTTGAACATTCTCATTAATTATCGATCATGAATGCAATGCAGGTCTGCAGATATAACATTTTCAAAATATCAACTTTCACCTACTTAATGAAACACATCGTTAAATTAACAACTACTATACTAAGTATTGAAGGATTAGGTCTTTCCGGCCTGGCGGACAATTCAACTAACCATATTTCATAATTCTCTGCGGAATGTTTACAAATTGCATTTTTTGGCATAATTTCCTAATTTTCTCATGTCCAAACAAAAATTCACATGACTCTGTGCACCACAAAGAATCTACAGATTCTCCAACGGGCAGTTCAAATTGTTCTTGAATTACAGAGGAAAAATACTAGAAATAAATAACAAAAATATAGCTGCAAACCTGTCAAAAATAAACAAGAAGTCACAACCATAAAATGTTTGAACAAGATTGAACTTGAAATTGAATCATGTCTCTTTTTGAATGTATTATGACATTGGTTACACGTATGCATCAACAATATTTACAAGATGGCCGCCATCAAGTCAAGATAGGAAGTGACTTTCTTCAAAAATATAAACCAAGGCAATGTGTAGCCTATCAAATGAGTCTGCGTCATTTTTAAATCGTGACGTCACTCAGTTATAACATCATAATCGTCAT